TTTTGCTTAGGCAGTAGGCAAATTTATCGCTAACTCTACCTTCCTCCAATCTCCTGTTCATTAGATTTGTCTCCCCAAGGATGTCGATGGCCTCTCTAATCTTCCGCTTCCTTGTCTTGTCACCATATGGGGCTCTTCTTTCTATTGCCTTCCAATTGATCTCGTGTCTAGTCCGTACGATGTGTTCCGTTAGTTCTGATCTTTCGGTATCCATTTTTCTGCAGAACCTCTGATATTCCTTGATTCGTGTGCTAATTTTTCTCTCCGTTTCGCCAATATTTTTCTGTTCGCAGGCGCCGCGTGGTATGCAGTAAACTCTTGAACAATCTAATTTGTCTACCCTTTAATGTTGTGTCGGTAGACTTGTGAAGTGTGTTGATTTCTCACATTCTTGCAAAAAGGTTAAGTGTCTGCAGATAATATATGAAGTTGTTGCCAACGACACGCGAAATAGATGCATTTGTGATTGAGCGGTTGCAGTCTCCCCTAATTAACTTATATCGTTGCTCCTACGATGCGGAAGTATTTAATTGATTTCCATTGCATATGCTTTGAGTTTTTATTCAATGCTCGTAAGTGGTGTGAGGTGTGAGATTGCCAACCAGCTTCGTGGTTAATCCAGCCTCCTCTTGTTCAGTCCTACCCCTTCTTGAATGAAAAATTGCTCAATAGGATTGCTGTCACCTGTCACTTTGATGAGTTGTAACTTTGTCCTAACAGTAGTACTTCTACCTCTGATTGCCGATTTCGCCTACGATCACTTTGAAACATCTGGGGATGTACTAAGTCAACATTATGATGCTGGAGATTATCATTACTACTATGGAATAGGGCAAAGGCCTTTCTTTTCCCCCGACCAAGTTCTCATTCTTTCTCTATTTTTATATACCCAAAATTATTTCTATTTTATTTCAAATTAGACCTTTTTCATTCTATATTTTTCAAATAATTTATCTGAATAGCAATGTAGTTGCTGCTAAGATGATGGCGCGCATGGGTTATCGTGAGGGCCAGGGATTAGGTCGTGAGGGCCAAGGAATGTCAACCGCTCTCGTGGTGGAGAAGACCAGCCGGCGTGGTGGCAAGATTATCCATGAACGTGACCGCCTCCATTCCCTTGCTAGTACCACAGGACAAATTACTGGGGGTGGATCAAATACCCGACCGGGTCCACGGCAGGAAGAGGAGCTGTGGGACGATGTGCCCGGTCTGATTGGAGAAGGCGCGGAATCAGGGGAGGCTCCTTTGCCGTTGCCTCCATACTCAAGTTCTGTATGTATTTACATTTGATAATTTTTCATGCCTGCAACTGTTCACCCCTCCATAATTTGGTTACTCAAAACTATCCAGGATAGAACATTTTCTAATACCAATCTAGATTATTGGTTTTCTCTGATTCCCACACTTTCTTAATATTAGGCAAAATATCTTTCCTGTATCGTATCTTTGGCTGGTCATAATCTGTTAAATAATTATTCTTATAATACAATCTGTTTTAATCTTTTAAAAAATGTCTCATAAATTAATCATCTTGATTTTAATTAACTGCAGTTATATGGAGGACCTGAGTGACTGAGCTATACCTTTTATTTATATATATATATATAAACTCATAACAAGATGAGAAATGGGAATATTTGGCTGCCTTTTCCACTTCCCTTGGATCTTTAAATTAAACACAAGCATTTCTTTCTTAATTTATTATCTTCCTTCCCAATATCCGACTCCCTTATTAGTCTGTTGATTTAGATTGCCTCTCATCTTACATTTACGACGTGCAACTTAATCAACTTATTACTGCGCTTATGACCAATCTATCTAATGTCCTTTTAAGGTCATTTACTCAGTAGCCCAGAATACTGATCCGAAAAACCACCACGGAGGCTTTGTCCTTCAGCCATCCTATGCCAAAGAGCGTCAGTTATCGACTGTAAAATTTGTTATTCTATTTCTGTAGCTCCTAAATTTCACCTTAATAATCTTTATTGGCAGTTTAAAATCAGAATTTATTTTGTGAGCGTTTGGCTGAAACTTCTTGTTTATTTACCTTTACTCGTAAAATAGATAGTCTGAGAAAATCCCCAAGCCAATTACTGAACTAAGCTTTATTACTTAAGTTCATCGGATTTTTAGGACCTAGCACCCTTAACTTGTATTCACGACTAGGTAAAGCTCATACCAATAAGTAACAACAAACATAACTGACACGTTATTTTTTCAGGTTATCTTGGCTTTAATGGGTCTCAAGCTCATGTAGTCTTTTACCTTAGTACTTCCGATTCAATATCTTCTTGCAATTTTTAAAGGAAGCTTATTTTATAAATTAACTGATCTCGTTTTGCAAATTAGTCGTGTTGTCAGGGCGACTTAGTTGGATGCACATTGTCAGAAGTTCTATACTATATTAGTTATCATAATTTATAGTGTTTGGCCGTGGACTTGCTACATTTCCAGGCGGTTCGCCGGCATCGTCAGTAAATCTTGCCATTCTCATCATGAAGCTGCAACTCGTCAAAGACATATGACTACGATCCCGGCAAAACGTCTTGGAATGTACCATGTCAACGGTCCGATGATGGGAATTATGCTGACTACTGTAGTGGATGACTTCGGACAAGGTTCGTCCAATTAAGTCTCTCTGACAGCACAACCAAGTTGCCATAATCCAGTTCAGCTAACTTTTATACATCGAAAGGAGACTTCGACCATACCAAGGTTTACACCATCTTGGTCTTCATATCTCTGATATAATTAATTTTAATTGCTCTCGCATCTGACAAGAAGGGATACAAACGCAATATTTTATTGAAATACGTAGAGATTCTAATATCAATTGGCTAGTCTGAAATTAAAAAAAAATTTATTTAACATATTTCATGATTTGGCGACTAATTTTATCAGCATTCCATATACAGTATTTTTCACTTAAGTATTGTTTTAATACAGCTATCTTTTATGCATCATCAGTTCGGGTATATGTGCTATACAATGTTTATTCTTCTAGCTTCATTTAGCACATTTACTTCCATATAATCGACTTCTTGAAGAATCAGAAAGGCAATTTTTGTTTTATTTTCTAGGGGGATGGGATGGGAGAATGTTATAAGTTAGTGATAGGATTACAGGGACCAAGGGAATAGAATAGTTTATATAGCCCTTCCTATTGAAGGGGGATTACATGTTCGATCATATGATGGTTCCATCATGTGAATAAATCCTCAATTATGAAGTATATATTGGCCTAACCTGAGAGATTTTAACTAACCAGCAATATAAGAGACGAGGGTCAGCCGGTGCAAGTTTGGAGCAGTGACTTTCTGAGTTGGAAACCACTTGCGATCATAAAGACCTTCGACTGGATGCTAAAGCTGCTGCTGTTTTTGCAAAAACTCCGAGAATATACCAAACCGATGTTCCGATGTTGAAAATTATCACGGCTACTTTGGCAGAAGGCACAGGACTTTGTAAACTATGCAAGGACTCTATTTTGACGGATAACGTTACCAAAGTGAGATCGTATTAACTATTTTTCACTTTATTTCGTTATTATGATGTTTAATTCTATTTCCTAATTCATAAGCTAAAAGGTGGATAAAAGGGAATATATGCAGTCAACTAGATTATAATACATTCCACTACTTAATGAATAGATCACCTACCATTATAAATGTTAATATTATATGCTGCTGATTCTCTTTGTTAAAACTATTTGCTTTGTCTTTTATTGGGGTTATACAAATTCTCTTTAGGCCGGAAAATTTGTACGCAAAATAATAAAATTAATATAGCGTTTTTGTTTGACATTCAATAATGTTTTATTATTCATTTATTCTGCTTTTATTTACATTTTTTTATTTTGATGCCTTCTGAATATCCGCTTTCCTAGTCCATTTTCTAAAATTTTTTCTCCTCTTAGTTTTTATTTCAGTTTTTCTTCTTACTTTTTCATTCTCCCTACTTTCTAATCTGATTTTTTTAATGCTTTATGCAATTCTTTCACCTTTTCCCTTTTCATAATCTTGATAGTTGAACGTTAAGGCAATTGATCTTATTTAAAGATATTCTCCTGAACATTTACAATATTTCAAATTTTTGATATTTTAACTTGTATGCTTGCTTTTTCCTTCAGTGGTTTTTTATATAGTGGATTTCTAGGGCTCTCAAGCATCGTACTTAGGTCTGTATGCGAATAAAGGCCTCGGAAACCGGCTTTTTATTTTGTCCTTTGCATCGCATAAGTGTAGGGTGCTTAAGTTTGAGTTAATATTCGGATCTTAATATATACTCTCTTCAATATATGTTCTTATCAGCATTTTATTCTTTATCGCTTACGTGATTCCATTTATCTATTCATATCAGTTTCGAGATTGTATGATTTGAATTTTAACCTGCTTCTTTCTACTCTTATCCATTACATTTCAAATTATGAACCCTAATATTTCACAAAGTTGGTACTTATTTTGTTTATAACTTAGAATTCAAATATTTGGTTGCTATCTCGGCAAAGCTAATCACTTCCTCATTGTGGATTTCACGTCTTCTAGAATTTGTAATTTATTTGAGTTTCATTTCATTCATTTTGTTTGCCACAATACGGACATAAAGTATAGAATTTAATTTGCCTAGTTATGATTTATTTGTGTTTGTGAGGACGCTAGGGTGACAACTTGAGGCTTTTCAATTTATGCATGTCTTCGAATTTGCATGTATTTATAAGTTGTCATGTATTCCCATCTTCTCTTTTTCTCTGCTCATCTTTAGTAAAACGATTTGTGGGCTTATATGTATAGATAGATAACTAATTATATATTTTGGTACATGTATCTTGTCTACATCGAAGAGGTCTTTTTTTTATTTTCATGATATTTAAGTTGTATTTAAGTCCCATTTTTCGTTTCCATATATACCAATCCATCCCTTAGTGCCCATACGATTACACTATATATTAAATGCTTTTGTGGCGCAGAAAATTCGAAAGCCTTTGCATAAATATTAGTACGTTCTTATTGGTTTTGTTAATTTAGTTCTCATTTGTTTTATGTTTTCTTTTTCAAAATGTACTTTTTTGCAATTTATTAATTAGTGAATGTTGATCATGGTCTGCATTTAAACGTTATTTGATGACCTCTTACTCATAAAGATTGCTTTCACGATACGACACAATATACAATACTTGTATTTTTATGTTTTAAATGTCTTTCCAAGTCTAATCGGATGACGATATTCTCTAAGAAAATTTCGTTTTTAATTGCCTTGAATAATCTTAAACTAAGAAAAGCTCTTAATTGTCGATAAGAAATTTGCGTTCATTATTATGTCTCATTAAGAGTTTAAAATGTGTGATTGTAGAAAGATAAAATAAGTTGCATTCTAAAGTATCTACCCAACACCTAGGATAGCTCTATCCCTTCATTTCCTTCTAATTATTGCTTTTTATCTTAAATAGCAACCTAATAATCGAGTATTGTCAACTAGGCTAAGACCACTGACAAGATAGGCAGTATTGATTTCTATTCACTATACGGCCTTTATTATCATAATAAACTATTGAGTTTGTATTCCTACTGTATTTATAACTTTTAGTATCAGTAATAAATATAACCTTTATATTTAAATTCGTGTAACTTCAAGATAATACAATGGGACATTTTTATGGCAATAAATCATAAACTGAGTAATCTTGGCATGGTTAACCGCTATAAAAGAATTAAGTCACTTTAAACTTAAGCAGCTACATTTATTATCATTGATATCTTTCTATGATCCCTATATCTACGCAAACATCACTGTATCAACCTATTTATCAATCATAACTTCATTAATGATAGGTCATTCTTCTGCGCAATATGTGTGGACCTGGTGAAGTGGATGATGACCTAGAGCCAGAAACTGCTGAGGAATGTGCGAAATATGGGCCTGTTGTTACCTGCATGATTTTTGAATTGCCAAACGCCAGCGATGATGAAGCTGTTCGTATTTTTGTCGAGTTTACTTGCGAGGAATCTGCCAACAAAGGTGAATCTTACATCATTTTCATCATTTACTACGAATAGCTAAATTATTTTTTATGCATGCATACATGCTTCCTCTAATCTTTTCAGTTGGAAAATGAAGTTCGAAACTTATAAATGGACCCATGAGATAAAATTCTTGTAATTTATGACTTAGTAGGGAGAGTCGCTGAGAAATATAGCTATAAATGAGACTCATCATAATTATTAGCACAATATTATATGTCAACGAGGCTCAACTAGATTTTCTGTTTGATTTTGCTCAAGTTCGCATCTGAAATTGCCCTTATTCTCTTTGCCATAGTACCCCAATTTTTTCTGTTGACTAGGATGGGGATTTATACTTCCACTAGCCCTTTCCAGACAGGAAAAATTTTTTTAAATTCATATTTATATTGAGTGGCTTTGATACTTACCATAGAGTAGTTGATTTTTACTATCATTATATAAGTAGGTTTATAAAAACTTTTGGGAGATGAGACTTGTATTCAATGGTGTTGTGAAGTCTACTGCGAGTGTGACTAATTCTTTTTGTAGGATTTACTAGTATTGTCGAAACTAAATTCAATGTAGATATTAAAAAGGTAATCGATTGTCTCAACGAACACAAATCTGCCTGAGAATCCAATCACCCTGATTGGGAATACCTTTTGGGAAGCAAGGCTAGATGAAATTCGATTTCATTGTAAAACCTATAATTTTTGAAAAACGCAAGTATCAGTTCCTCATCACCTTGTGGCAACCTGGGAAACTAAAACTCTTGTATGAAATCTCTGTTTGCATGCATTTGTTGTGCGTCTGTAACTGTTTAAAGGTTCTATTCATACATCATTTATCCTCTGTGTTACTGAATCCTTCGTTGGAAGTTTCATCACAAGGCACTTTTGAACGGCGCTATCAATGGATTAAATTGTTTTTCATAAATTATTTTATCTAGCTTAAAATTGATCAAGCCTAGTAATTATAGTTATCAGAACAAAACGATAAAATATAAGAATTCCTTTCCCCGTCTTAGCTTGACCATGCTTTAAAAGCCGCTTCTTAGAGTGACTTCAAATTCAAAGTTCTTTCCATCTTGTTCTTTATACCTACGAATTTATCGCATGACCAGATCAAAATTTCATTCAGAGATTTAATACTTCTTTTTGTATGCACATTGTTAAGTTGAATTACGTGAGCAATTAAAATAAAGGGCAGGAAAAACTAAATGGAGTTGTCAGAGGACTTTAATTCTATGGGAAATAGAAGTAGGTCGATCCCCTTTTTTCGAGCGAGATGAGGGGTTTTACAGCTATATGACCTCCTATGTATTTCTTGCTAACCTCTTCTGATGCCCTGATTCTGTACCTGTATACAAATTTGTATCGATTACTTACGTGTTCGCTTATGGGTAGCACCGTAATGCGTCTATGCTCCCTGTTAACTTGATTTTTCGATTTTGTCTCAGGATAATTATTTTGACTAAACTGTTGCATTAAAAACAACATTTTTTATGTCATGGAAAGTTTACTTCGGCCAAAATTGATTCCTTCTCTGAAATTGAAAATTAAACGTTTTCACATCCTTTTCTTCTGAGGTTTTATAAAATAAAATCGCAAATTGCTTCTTGATTTGATTTATTTCATAAAAAAATAGTCCAAGGATTGATCAATCGATTTTTAATCCCATACAAAAGTGTTCATCCATACTGGTCTTCTTACGATGTCATTTTTTCTCCATACATTAAATAGCAAAAAAGTCACTTGCATTTGGCAACATGCTGTTAAATAAGGCTTTATTGTTAGCGTTTGAGTTTTTATCCAATAACTTAAATGGACTGTGCACAGCTGTTTTCGCATCTGTATCAA